ATTATTATTATTATTATTATTATTATTATTATTATTATTATTATTATTATTATTATTATTATTATTATCTAGAAACTATAGCATTCCCAGACATACAACCAAAAGTATGAATCTGGTATGTAGATAACACCTTCATCATAATAAAAAGGAGTAGCTAGAGAAGGCACATGAAACAATCAACAATATCTTCAAAGGAATAAAATTCACAATGGAAGGAGAAACTACCAACACACTACCCATTTTTTATATCCTTATCAGCAGAGGAAACAATGGCAAATTAGAAACACAAGTCTATTGAAAAACAACCAAGCTACTGATCCATTACCAAAGTAACAACCAAACCTCCCACAAGAGAAGCTGTGTAAAATGAAATAACCCAGAACATCATACATCAGCAACCAACAGATTACTAAAATTATATGGCATCACTGTAACACACAAACTAACTAAATCTCTCCAAAACATTTAAAGTAAACCAAAAGATCAGTAGCCCAAGAAGAAAAATCAGGAATCAGTTATAACAAAGAATGTAAGAAATGTAATAGCCACTATGTAGTATAGACAGAAGACGAGCAGAGCACATCCATGAACACCAACAAGCAGTCAGAAGACACAATGAATACTCCTTAATCTCACAACACATCAGCCCAGAGTTCTCACTTCAGACACATTATGCAAAAACCCAACGCTATGGAGAAGGCCCACAATGCTGGGAAAATAAAGGAAAGGAAAGGAATCAAGAGGATGACCAGCAACCCAGTAGATGGACTTAGTTACAGAGATGATGGTGCCTGGTTGGGAACAGATCTCCCTAGAAAAATATCTATATGATCACTAAGGATTGACAGTGACTTCATGGCCCATAATCAAAATCAATTTGATAAACTGTCTCATTCTGAGCCCAGCAGGTACACATGAACCGAGGTAAAATATTTCAATAAATAAAACAATGCAACAACAAAATCATAATAACTGTATAAATAACAAAAAAAACATTACATGGTTACTTCTAATCATCTTAAGGCCTAGAGAACTGCTAAAACAAATTGTTTTATTTGCTATTTCACAGTTTGTTTTCTTTTTTCCTTGTGTTTTGGGAGCTGGTGAATGATGGTAATAAAGCACTACACTTTGTGTAACAAACCGATATATTACAAAGCACTTTGTAATGCATAACTACAAGTAATTATTAAAGTATCCCCAGATGAAATATATACCTTACACATATAAGAGACATTTTGAAATATGCTGGATTTGTTGATCACAAATATATAAATTTAAAACATATCATTGGTCTGACAAGTGAATTGGGCTTCAGACCATAAAATATTAACTCACTAAAAATTATTATTCACAGCTTTTAAAGCAATTACAGAGCTATAAAACATGTTAAAGATAATTGTATGCATTTTAAAATGCTTGTGAATTAATATTTTAAAATCTTTTTAAAATCCTCTTTTCAGTTTCCTATTGTTACAATTTTCATAATTTGGCACAGGGTTTGTTTAATTCTATACTAGGTGACACACCTAGGCTATATTATCCACTAGGAGCATGTTTTAATTTATATACCTATTTAATAGTCTTTTATTCAGATTTTTTAAAATGATTTAGCTACGTTAGAAATGTTAACAGTATTATTATTATAGTACAAGTTTCATCAACACAGCATCTGGAAGTATCAGATTGTACATGGTCCTTTCTGTTCTGACAATTAAGAATCTTGATAGGTTTCCTTAAGAAGAGACAGAATGTAGCCTTTATTTTTAAGTTATTTTGCTGGAATGATTCTTTAACTTGAATAAGAGAAGAGGAAAAATGCAATCCTTGATCAATCATAAAACTAAACATCACCTTAAACTTTAATATTTTCTGACACAGAAAAAGTACCCAAAATATTTCCTGCATCACCAAAACAACCAAGTATTTACAAGTTAAGGAGTATGCAAAGCATTTGAAAAAACAACTTCCTAAAGTTCGTTAACCTGAGCAAGGCATCACATTTCAAAGCATCCAAACTGTCATGATTTCTGCAAAGCTGCAGTGACTGCTTGGAAGACAGAACCTGAATGTCTGCATGTGTGAATAAAGAACATCTGCTTTACTCTGCTGGAAGTCCCAGCAGAAGTATTGTTTACTTGCACATGCAGACTATCGGGGGCTTTGAAGCAGCTTTGTTGAGTTTTCTGTAAAACCCTGCTGCTTTAATGATCCAAGCAGATGTGCTTTGCTTAAGGCTAACATGCTTTGTAAAACATGCCTGGGAAACCCTAGTTATTTATTAATTAGGCAAATAAAAATACAATAAAATTGTATATAGGCCTGTGTGTGTGTGTGTGTGTCTGTGTGTATAATAGCTACAGTATGTGGCATGGTATAATATACTTTGTTACTATACACAAAAGGTAAGTCTAATTTATATTAGAATCCATACTGATAGATCATAATGATTTTTAAAAAAAATTAGTAACAGTTTATTGTTCTTTGTTAAATTAAATTTACTTACAACTGAGCGAGATTTTTTAACTTTTCTTTTCTGATAATATGGCAGCAGATTGCTCCGAGGGGAATGGTAAGTTAGAGAACATTTAGTTTGAAAAAGACAGTTTACTTGGTGGTACTAAAATAACAGATATTTTTTTGTTAAAGAGATTAATGAAACACAACATTCACTCTTTTAATTTGTTTTTTTTTTAACTTTGTGTGGGTGTTTTCATAAAGGACACATGGAGCTATTTTTAAAATTATAGTTTATATCAAATCCTTTTCTAAGTATAATGCAGCATCTGTTTATAAATGTATTGCATTCAGGTCAGATTTTTAAAATTAAAATAGTATTTGCCTTATAGGTATTTAAAATGATTCATATGCTCCTGACAATCAAAGGAACTCAGGGTGAAATCTTACACTGAAAGAAGAAAGTAGAAAGGTTCAGAATCAAGCCTTATTTATATGGAAATGACTGACACAGAACATTTCCTTAATGCTAGCATGCAAAAGCAGAGTGAATATACATCACATTTGAATCCTGCAGAAAAGATCA